TTTGCAGGCATTGATCAGTACTATAATGGACAGCAAATTAAATAGACATTTATTGATCACTCCTTATTAGTAAGTATTGGGAGGGGAAATATGAATAAAGCATAGTTTTTATGTTCACAATGCTCATTACCTGGTAAGAGAGACAAACAGATACAACTATAATACAGTGTAATAAGATGAATAATAAATAGATAAATGAGCAAAGGAACTCAATAAGCAAAACATGAAAATGATTGATCCGGTCCAGTGATTCAGAGGATATTACAAAGAAAGGTAAAATTGATGACTTAGTTTTGAAAGATGAGGAGAATTTTACCAGATAGAAAGGGGGGAAAATAGGGGTATTTCAACCAGTGAAAACACATGTGAAATGGACACAAAGGCAAGAAATAAAATGATGTGTTTAGATAATGGTGAGTAGGTTGGAACACAGAATGGAAAAGCAGGTGATTTGGCCAAAAGACAAAAAAGAAGAACATTCAAGAAGAAAGAGCTACTCAACAACTGACTTTCTCAAGTGTTTTTTAGAGTTCAAGTAGAATAGACGTCGAGCAAAAGTAACTGGATTTAGCTAGATGCAAACACCTTTTAGTTATAAATTTTTCTTCTATGATATCACTGAAAGCAGTTGTCTCTACTTTCTGAATTTTCATTATAATTATTAGATTACATAATATGTATTTGTTGTAAAATATAAAATGCAGATGAGTATATAATTACAAAAAATGAAATCATATTCTGTTCTACAATCTTTGAAAACCTCATATTATGTTTTTAATGGTTGCTATCACAAAAAAATACAGTTGCTTAGACTTCCTCTAATCCTCACATTAGAAATTCTATTGCTATTTTCTGTACTCTTTATCTATCATCTTTTCATGTTTCATTTTGCTCCCTAACTTTTGCCCTCTTTGTGAATTTTAATTCAAAAGTTTGATTTCTAAAACATTAATTTATGAATAGTGTTCATTCTCTTTTATGACACCCTTTGCTGATGTTCATGATGTCATTGTGTTTTTAGGCTTGTAGAAGTTTTCTGCTTGTCTTAGATAATTTCCTCCTCATTTAATCCATCTTTTCATTTCCTTATTCATCAGTTGTTAGAGTTCATTGCAAACACAAAAATACTGTTTTTTGTTTTTCTGAATATATTTTTTATGAAAATATTTTTCCCTTACTATAATTCCCCTCTTTTATTATGTTTCATTTTTAAGTCTCCTGTATGTTTGGATAGCTAGAAATAGCTATCCACGCAAGATGTTTGCCAAGAAATAAATGAAAAAATCCCTCCTTCTTTTTTGTTCTTTCTTTCTTTCTCTCTTTCTTTCTAAGATTTCATTTATTTTTCAGAGAGAGAGAGAGAGGAAAAAAAAAAAACACACACACACAAGCAGAGGGAGCAGCAAAGAGAAAAGCAGGCAGAGGGAGAAAACAGGCTCCCCACTAAGCAAGGAGCCCAATGCAGAACTCAATTCCAGGACCCTAGGATCATGACCTGAGCTAAAGGCAGATGCTTAACTGACTGGGCCACCCAGGCACCCTCCCCTTCACTCTCCATGTGCTATAATCCTTCTTACCATCCAGTCATTCTGGTATCCATCCAGTATTTATCTAGGGTAAACGTGAAATGCAAAACCTGTAGTTCTGGTTTTATCAGAAATAGGATTGATTTCCTCCCATCTCATTCCTTGAAGTTGAATTTATAAACTTGATTTTAGAATTTAACATTTATCCTTGTCAAAATTCTTCTTGTTTCATTTAATCTAAGAGGGCTTCAATGTGGAATTTGTTGTCCAATATACTTGTTATCCCTCTTAGTTTCCTGTGATTTAAAATCTGCTAAAAATGAGTTTTTTCATAAATTTGAAACTCTGTTTCACATCTTACTAGAAAGAACTTTATGCACATTTAGTGCCTTTTTCCTTGCAGTTATGCATTTTGAGGACAAGTATTGTGTCTGTTTCATTTAAGATCTATTCCCAGCGCCTGGCATATCTGCCATTTAGAAGCATGTATTACGGTGTGGAATAAGTGACCTATAGTGTGTGGTTTTATCACTTTATATGGTACCTAAAGGTGAACAAGTGGGTTTTTGGGGAAATGATTTTGCACAACTTTCTTCTCCATATTGGAGAATTTTGTGACTAGTAGTATCATGACATTGTCTAAAGGATAAAGGGCACACGTGAAATTCTCATACATTTCTGGTGGGAGTATAAAGTGGAATACACTCTTCCAAATGCTGTTTTTCAGGATTTAGTAAAGCCAAACGTATGTGTTGCCTATTACTTAGCAATATCACTCCTGAGTTTATACCCAAGTGATATGAATACATATATCCACCAGAAGACAATGCACATGAATGTTTTTTAGCAGTGTCCTTTATAATAGCCCCAAACTGAAAACATAATATATGTTTAGCCCCATATGAAAACATAATGTATTTGGATGGTAGAATAGTATACATCCATGAAAAATAATAAACAAGGACATATACAACAAATGGGATTAATCTCACAGAGAATATGTGGAAAGTCATGCTAAAAGAGTGTAAATAGTGAATTCTATTTTTGTGAGATTCAAAAACAGACAAAACTATTGCCTTTTACCTGTTGCGGGTGTCCACTGGTACAAACAGAGCCACTGGTGCTAGAAATGTTCTTGTTCTGGGTGGTAAGTGCCCAAGGAGATACATATATGTGTATGTGAAAAGTCTTCAAGTTATATACGACTTGGGTGTTTTACTATAAGCAAGGTATACTTCAGTTTAAAAATTAAAAGGCAAAATAAGGATATTTCTAAGCAAAACAAAAAGGAAGAAAGAATTTGTAGTTGAAAATTTTGAAACCAGAATGGGAAGCACAATACTTACTTTCAGAGCTAATGTAATTAGAGATAATCTATGTGAACTGTCTGGGCCAAGTCTGGCATTTTTCATAGGATAAATAATTTGCAGATACGCATATGTCCAAAGCCAGTGCTTCTCAAGATTTAATGCACATACAGATCAGCTAGAAATCTTGTTAAAATGCAGAATCTGACTCTAGATCTGAGATGAGGCCTGAACTTCTATATTTTTGAAATTCCAGTGTTGCTTACCCACAGACCATAGTTTAAGTAGCACTGGAGTGGAATGGAGGTGAATGGGGTTTATCACCAGGAAAAACATCTTGATCAAGCTCATGTTTTAAAAGGTATTTCAGCTGGGGCGCCTGGGGGCTCAGTGGGTTAAAGCCTCTGCCTTCGGCTCAGGTCATGATCTCAGGGTCCTGGGATCAAGCCCCGGATCAGGCTCTCTGCTCCGTAGGAAGCCTGCTTCCTCCTCTCTCTCTCTCTCTGCCTGCCTCTCTGCCTACTTGTGATCTCTGTCTGTCAAATGAATAAATAAAATCTTTAAAAAAAAAAAATAAAAGGTATTTCAGCTAGCAAATGACAGATCCAAGAGATAGACAATAGATCTTTAAATGAGGAAAAGGGAAGGAGAAATGAAAAGTGGGAAAAGAGGAACATTTTGCAGAATCATCAAGACATGGAATTTCATTGAATTTTAGGAGTGATGACAGAAAGTCATCAAAGACAGCTTGATAAATTTAGCTTCAATGACCAGACAGATAAATATGCCTCCATTATAATTATTTTATTAGGTTCTTTTGATTAAAATTGAGCTCAAGAGGAATGATGTCAAAAAACTTTTTTGGGGGGGATCATGCTAGCAGAGAATGAACCAAGGGGAAGCCATAGAGTGGGCAGCTTAAGAATAGTTGCATAAAGGAGGAAACTGTAAAGATAACGGGTTGTAGCAGTTAGCTTTGCTGGAGTAACAGATAATCTTAAAAGTCCCACTGGCTTACAACCACAAAGGTATGTATGTTGTGTCTCCACTGGGTTCTGCTCCACGTGCTTTCATCCCAGGATGTAGACTGAAGGAGCACATTCTCTTAGGAGCAAGAAAGTTGGAGAAAACATGCAAAGGATCCTGAAGCTTCCATTCAAATGTAGTACATGTCATGTGTGTTGCTGTGCCATTTTGTAGACCAAGTCACACTCATAGGCCTGATGTCAGTGAGGTGGGAATAAACGCTTGTCCCACAGGGGCCACTGCAGGTCACATGGTCACAGACATGGTGTTGAATCCTCTTACAGAAAGAAGTGACCAGTTGAAAAAATAATACATTCTATTGCAGGAACGTACCCAGCAGAGTCCAAGCCCCTCTGTATCCCCTTCATGCCAATAACCAACTCTAGCTCTGGATTTTTTTAATTCAATAGTTAAATATTTTCAGCATTAAAAAAAAAGTATATTCTCAGCATAAAACCTTTCATTAAAATGAAGCAAATGGACAGATTTCAATTTTCTCTCTTAATGAGCACTTAAATATTCAAAACTCTACAGGGGAAGGAAGGGGGAGAAGAGAGGGGGTGTGGAAGAGAAACCATTACTAGATAATCGCCTTGGAGTAATCAAGAGTTGGCTGAATTCTCTCCTGACCTTTGCTATATTTAGTAGGTGTCTTCACAGAATGGTTGAGCTGTTAGGTGACCCAATCCCTGCACGCTCACATTACTTAAGTTGTTCATGATCTTTTAATGGGAGAATGAGAACACCAGTGTTTTAGTTTTCTAGGAATCCTCAGTACAGGAAATTTATACATCTTAAACGGAAATTAAACATAGACAACCCACACAACCCAGAGATTATTCAAAATTTCAAAACTTCCAGGTTGTGTCTATCAACATTCAATGCATTGATAAGCTAAACAGCAATTACACCAATCAGTTCAAAGAAGAGGTTTTTGCCTGATTACCTGGCTATTTCTCAGAAAATAACTGATATAAATTTGATGATTTGCAAAATTGCCCACTTTGGTTGGAAACTGTTCTCTGCCTCTCCATGCATGATGGAAACACAGTTTCTGAATGTTTTGCTTTTTCAAACCAGGGACAAACCTATAGTTGTGCGTGTCTCATTTCTTTTATTTTTCAATCACTGTTGTTAACAGGACAAGAGCATGATTCAACAAAGGATGAAATAAAAATTGAGGCAGAGTCCCAGAGCTCATATATGGAAACAGAAGGTATTGAAACCAGAATGCCATGTTATCTGAGAATGAGATGAAACTATGAACCATGACTTCTCTCTATCCTGGTGTTTGTGAGGAGTGTGCGTGTATGTTTTAGGCAGTGATTACCAGAGTATGGCAACAATGTTCTGTTCTGTGTGCCTCTCAAAACTTGGAGGGGGAAAAGAAAGGGACGTTAACTATCTCTGCTCTAGCCACTGTGTTTTCTCAATGATTCCGATGAAAACACCCTGAGTCTCCCTCTGTCTCCTTCATTTTAGAGCTTTCACCAAACCAGGAAGATGCCACGACCGTGGAGCAACCGGAAGTGATCCCTCTAACAGATGACCAAGAAGACAAAGAAGGTGAAAAAGGTAGGTCCGCTCTTAAATTGATCCATCAAGAATGAAGAGTTCCTTTGGACTCCTGCCTAGAATGCAACCATGAGTTACCCTCCCGCAAGAGCAGTCTGTACAGGGGAAAATGAGCATTTCTTTCATCCTGAACCTACTCGTGAGCATAGAACAAAATCTAGGAGTAGCAAAAGAAGAGGCTTGTAACAGTTTTTCTGCCCTTTCAAGTAGTTTGAAGTTGTTTTTTTTATTATTTGTTTCAATTTAATTTAAAAGCTCATGAAATACAAAAATTATTGTATTGAGAAAGCCTATATGGAATCAAAATTATGGACTAGATGGGTTTAGATGGATAAGAATCTTGGAAAGTCTGAGATGGCTTTAAAACACAAAGATAAGCCTTTCTGTATTGATTTCCTTCTGGTGTCCTTCATCTGATAGTGATTAAGGAAGCAATTTATGTAAAATATAAATATTATATGAACCTTCTAAATTGCATGCTTTGTCCACTAATATTAGGATGCAGAAATATTAAATACTGTTAAAAACACAAGTGAGCTTTATAATGATTTCTGAAGACATAGGAGGAACGAACACTTTGTAAATTTTAAAGCAGTATTTGGGGCATCAAGCCAATATATCGGAGTAAAGACAGGCATCCTTTTAGAATACCTGTATTAAAAAACTATTATCAAAGAAATTTGGTATTTACTGAAGAACTTGATGAGTTCCATTTTAAAATATAAAGCAATCTCTTAAAAGAACATATGAAAGATGAATATATGAAATATATTTCACACATGAAATAAATAAAATCATTTGTCTGGTACACTATGTCATAAATCATACAGCTCTTAAATAAATAAGTGTTTGCAAAGCAGTTGCAAAGTAATAACTTGACAGGCCTTGTTTATAAAACACAGTGATCAATTTTGTTTCCAAATTAAAATGCAGACATGATCTCAATAGTGAAATCAGGTCAATAGTAACTACAGCTTCCAAACTATGAACTCTTCTTGGCCAGAGCATTGACACAGTTTAATTACTAAGCCATGTTAGTGATTTCAACATCTTTTTTAAAAATTTCCATTGCATTTAGAACAAAATAATCTTCCTTTTCTATGTCTCTAATAACTTTTTCTCTATTTCCCTGCAAATCCTAGTTCAGGCTCATGACACCATGTTCCCAGCTGGTCAAGTACATGGGATATGTGGGGCATATGTGGGGCATTTTATGTCTGATGATGGAACAGAGAATTAATAGAACCCTGACTTCAGAAACAGATACATTGCATTGTTCTCTTCAGTTGTACTTCTAACATGTAAAACACACAATGTCTTGCCTGCCTGTTTATTTTCTCAATAGCAGAAATTATTTACTTTGTATATTGTGCCTCAAGACATGCAAAAGAGAAACATCAAACAATGGGTCAGTTTTCTTCTTTTTAACTTGACCTAGGTTTGACAAGCTGGCATTCTGCACTCACTGTAATGTGTCCCTTCTTCCAGTGGTTCTCCAGCATCTAGCCCTCCTTTTTAATTACTGAAGAATTAAATACTCTCTTCCCTCTCCCTTGCAAGGATGCCAGTCCTCTGTAGCACATGGCAGAATGGCACATGAGAAAGAAGTGAAGTCAAATTCGGCTACTTGCTTGTAGCAACTTTGAAGTCGGATTTCTTTTTTGAAATGTGACTTTTCACGGCGGGAGAGTAATAATGCCTGTGGCTCTGAATTAACAGAATTTTCCCTCCCCTTCTTTCCAGCAGATACTTCACTTGGCACTACCTTGCCTATTCCTGTTTAAATTTGAAATAACTTAAAACACATCCCCTTATCATCTTATTCTTTGCTTCAAAATAAGCATGAATAGCTAGCTTGTGACACATAAGGGAAGTCGCGGAAGGAGAGTGGGGTGACGTAGATTCGGGACACTGTGGAGTAGCTCTGCCCCGAGTTGACACGCTGCGCGGTCTTGGGCAAGTTCTTTCAACTTCTGATGCCTCGGTTCCCTCCTCTGTAAGATGGTGATGACAAAATTACCGTTCACGTATGGTTGTGGAGATACTCTAATGAGTTGGCACATGTACAGGAGTCACAGTACCTGCCGCACAGAAAGCACTTGGTGTTTCATATCCCTCATGTTTTGATAAATTGACGACCAAGTCAAGAGAATCCATATGTGGAGTTGCTCAAATCCCTTTGTGGTCCTTCCTCGCCATGTTGAATCCATCAAAACTGCACATTTTCCACCTTTTCCTTCAACAATGAAAACAACAAAAATTGTTCTACACATTTCTTCTCCAGCACCATCTCCTGCTGGCGGTTTCGATATCTATGTTCTTTTCTATAAAGACAGAGCAATTAATGAAAGGTGAAGTGGGAGGTATCCCTCTCTCTTCAGAAACTCCCTTTTCTTTGTCAAGATGGCAGTCTTCTATTTGGGAAGTACTGATCCAGCCATAATTCCTATTTTTAAAAGACGATGCCATTGATCCATTGGCAGAGCCATGAAATAAAAGTACTAAATAAATCAAATGGGACTTTTTATGTTTGCTTGCTTGCTTTCTTTAGACTCATGGAGTTATTAGAGTCTTGTTTGAAAACATTTTGAGAATATAGCTCCAGGTTTTGTGTATATTCAGTGTCTCAATGGAAAGTTGCACAAACCTCTTAAAAATTACTCTTACCTGCAAACAAAAACAAATGAATATTCTATTACGTTTGTAGGGATATTCTTTATAGCTTTAGAAATATTGGTTCTCTTTTATTTTGAGAATCCAAGGAGACAGAAAGTGGTTGCTTTCAAAAAATCTCAGCCCAGGAAAAAAAAGAAAAAAGTATAACCTTTTTCTCTCATTTTGTATCATTCTATAAGATTAGAAAATGTAGATAATCTTCAGGATACATCTTCTATGGCTCCCAGGTGTATGGGCACAGATGTTAGAACATTAAGTTTCAAAGTTAGCTCTACCAAAATATGGGTTTTGAAAAGAAGAGAAAATATTCAGCAGAAGTTCATGCTGATAAAATTATACAATAGCACAATGGACATATCCCTGGGAGATCTGAAATACAAAAATTTCAACAGGCATAAAGTGAGGTTTCACATATGGCAGCTTTTCTCATAGAGCTACATTGCCTCTTCCTAAATGAGTCCAGTTTTATGCTTTCCCAGCAGGATCTGTGGCACATATGAAATCCAGTAAAATAGCACCATTTAGGCTGATAACCTAATAGGAAAGTAATGTTATAGGAGATCTCCTCGAAACACGATCTCCTGTTTTAGCATAAAAGAGAAAGCCAGTATTAAAACATTTTTCTGAAGATTTTTATTTCTAGTTGACTTTAGAAATAGTTGACATAAAATCTGAACTATGGTAAAATCGTGTCATTATTACATCACATGATTTTCATATATGACTTATTAGGAATATACTGGACATTTTCTTCAAGTGTTACATGGAAGGCTTACATCCCAATTATTTTTCCTGTGTTTCTTCAAGTGTTGCATAGAAGGCATACATCCCAATTATTTTTCTTGTGTTTAAGTGTTGGTTGAAGGCATGCATCCCAATTATTTTGCTTGTAACATTGAATAAGTATAATATGAAATAGTAATTCTTTATTTATCTCAGTTTGACCAAAATGTTAACTGGAAGCTTAAGGTCTATATTATGGTCTAAGTCTTTCTTGGGAAAAGATGGATGTAGACAGGCATACAAGTAAAAAGTGAACTAAAAGGCCATAATAAGTATAAATTATCATGTTGCAAAGCTGGTGTTTTGGCCTCTGAGGAACAGGGCTGTGGAACCAAGCCTATGCAGGTCCATGGCTTCTGGCTCTGGCTGCATGGTTCCTGGCAATTTTTTACCTTCTAGGAATCCCAGTTTCGGGGCTTGTACAATGAGAGGCACAAACTCAATAATGCAATTTCACAAATTTTCTTAGAAAGCCGCAGAACTGCATTCTTGATAAAACAAGGGGGAGGTGACATGGAAGCCATTGGTCATCGATATCCTGAGAAAGCCGAAATTATAGGTTTTCCTCAATTTCACTTCCTGCATTCTATTGATAAAAATGCAGAAGTGCCCTAGACCAGACAAAAAGATCAGCCAAATCAACCACATTCTATTTCAGGACTCAGCCAGTAATTGGATCACTCTGATTATTCCCTGAAGAGTCTTTCAATGGGGAAACAGCACTTTTTGGCTCCAAGTATATTTATATCCAAATTTTCCTCAAAACCATCTTTCTTATCCAAGACCATCTTTCTTATCAAGTGGGAAGCATCCTTTCTCGTGGCTCCTCTGGCCACTGTTTCATCTTTCGGTGATCACATAGTCCGTGAACCACTTTCTCTTCTGCTCCTACCTGTCAAATCCAATAGGGATTAATTTTGTCTACAAAGCACCTCTACACAGCCTTGGTATTTTCCACTTATTGATGGGATTCTTACATCACTGACAGAGCCCTTTTCTACTTGAAAAGTAGCCTTGACACCAATGATGCTACAACACACAGGCTTTCCTCCTCAGCCTGTGTGTGGTCTTTACTCCACAGAGACTCCTAGTGCAGACATATTTTTTTGATTCATACAAAATATTATACGAACTTGCACCTAGAGCAATTAACTTCTGGAATTTTCTATTTTCAAAGTCTTTTTATCTCATCTTTTCAAATGAAGTTGACTTTCATAATGCTGTGTTTTTCACATTAAAGGCATTATACTTTAGTTGGGATGGTAGCTGTTTCATGTTTAGATAGTTTCTTCTGTTACTGGTCTTCTGTCCTAATCGTGTGGTATAGCTGAAATTTGTCAGCCCAAATTTGGTTTTAGAATATAAGATAAATTCATAATGCTGGCCCCTGCTAAGGTTTTATGACTATTTTTAAATGTTTAATGAAATTCTTTACATTGGTTGAATACATTGAATATAAAAATTATAACCTTAAATTACTTGGGTTTTCTGCATATCTGTATGTAGGCGATATACATATAGAACCAATTCATTCAAATTAT